GAACTCATCCGGAGTAAAGTACCACTGAAACAAATAGAACTGCCTAGAATCGGATAATAAAGATGGGATCTCGATCTGAAACGTTGCTCTTAGGAAGACCATGTAATTTGAAGACCATATTAACAAACAATTCTGTAACTTTGTAAGCTGTGAATTGGGTTGGAAGTTCCCCTAAATGAACAGCTTTGGAAAACCTGTCAACGACCACAAGAATGATTGTGTATCTATGTGATACAGCCAAGCCAGTAATAAAATCAAGAGGAATATCATCCCAAACATTTGTAGGGGTGGACGGTGGTTGGAGAAGTCCCCTCGGTTTTGTAATGTTGTATTTTCTTTGTTGGAAAACCATACAACAGTTGATGAATGTCTTCACCTCAGTCCTCATGTTTTCCCAGTAGAAATTCTCACTAAAACGCTTCAAAGTTTTAATGATACCGCCGTGACCCCCAATCAGAGTCTCATGGAATTTCTTCATCAAAAGTTGTTTGAAGTGTGAAGTAGGACTCAGTCAAATCCTTATATTCCGCATAATCAATCCATTCTTCAGAGTAAATTCGGAAAATTAATGAGGGGATGAAGTTATCTTTGCTCGAAGTGCAATATAAACTGGATCAGTAGATAGTTCCTGACGCAATTCCTCCAAAAAATGAACTGGGGAACAAAGAGAGTGTGCAGGGTAGCCTCGATCCCTTCAAATGCACGAGACAAAGCATCAACCACAATATTAGACTTGCATGGCTTATATTGGATGTTATAATGGTACCCCAACAACTTGGAAAGGTAGAATTGTTGTTCGGGTGTCCGAATGACTTGTGTGGGGAGGTCTTTAAGGTTTCTATTGTCAGACTGGATGATAAAAAAATGACTGAGAAGATATTTCCGCCATCGCTTAACCGCGCTTGTGATGGCATGTAGCTCACGCAAATAAGTAGAAGCCTTATCCGTGCAAGGACAAAATAATTTTCTAAAGTAGGTGATGGGATGGTCGTTCTGTAACAGGACTGCTCCTATAGCTTGACCAGAAGCATCAGTTTGCACGATGAAGGGAACAGAAAAATCTGGTAAGGCTAAGACTGATGCACTTACCAAGGCCGATTTAAGTGCAGTAAAAGATGTGTTAGCTTAAGAAGACCATTTAAATGCATCTTTTTTTAGCAATTTAGCCAAGGGGTTAGCTATGGAAGCGTAATTCCGCACAAACTTACGATAAAATCCAGGCAATCCCAAAAATCATTTCAAACCTTTGACAGATTTGGGAGTCGGCCAATCGCGCATTGCCTGAATTTTGAGGGGATCCGGAGCTACTGTGCCTTATTCCATGATATGGCCTAAATATGCGACCTTGGATTGACCAAATGAGCACTTGGAAGCTTTAAGGTGGAACTGTTGTTCTGATAGAATGGTGAAAACTTGTGTGAGATGTTCCAAATGTTGATCCAATGAAGTGTTAAACACCATAATGTCATCAAAGAATACAATCACGGTTTTTCGGAGAAGAGGACTGAAATGTCATTCATGGTGGCTTGGAATGTCGCTGGAGCATTACAAAGGACGAACGACATGACATAATACCCATAGTGGCTGTCGTGAGTATGAAATGCGGTCTTGTGAGTATCTTCTGCTGTGAGTCGGATTTGATGGAAACCAGAGGTGAGATCCAATTTCCAAAAAATACGAGCATTCCCCAATTCGTCCATCAGTTCATCAATGGTAGGCAGAGGGAAACAGTCACAAACAGTGAGGGTGTTTAAGGCACGGTAATCCACACACATTCACCAGGATCCATCTTTTTTCTTAAGCAATAATACCAGAGAAGAGAAGGGGCTATTGTTGGGTTGGACCCAACCACTCTGGAGCATCTTAGCAACCTGAGTCTCAAGAGTTTCTGAGAATGCGGATATCGATAAGGGCAGATGTTGATAGGGGAAGAATTAGGTTGAAGTGGAATGATGTGATTAGTGAGGCGTAGGGGTGGTAAATGGATAAGTTCAGAGAATAAAATGGAGAACTTCTCGTTAAAGTAAGGTGACTTGAGGGTTTGTTTGTGAACATGGAAGGGTGGGGGATGAACGATGTGGGTTAGTTTTTGGTTCATAAGCACAGAGAGAGAATAATTGGCCGTTGAGTAATTTCTTAAGTTGGTGTAAGGTTAATGGTGAAGGGAAAGAAGTGGGATCACCTTTTAACTCAATACATGTGTTATTGTGGAAGAACTTCATGGTAAGGTTATTGTAATCCGTTAAAACAAGGCCTAATTGTGTGAGCCATTGAGCTCCCAAAACAACATCAGCTCCTCTGAGGCCCAAAACATAAAGATCTAGCAAAAATGAATGACCCTGAATTTCTAATTGTACACCCAGACAGATCTGTGAACACAATAACTCCTGACCACGTCCTACCATAACCCTCAATGGTGTGATTGGGATGTGGGTCAGGCTCAATGCAACAACAACGTGTTCCTGGATGAAGTTGTGTGTACTACCCCCATCCACCAAAATATCAATAGTTTGATTAGCAATTTTACCTATCACTTTGAATGTGTCGGAAGCTTGGTGTCCGGATAAAGCGTGTAAGCTGAGCTGAGTTGGTGGAGGATCATTGTCGCTGGTGGACTATGGTATAATAATGGTAGCTTCAAATTTCATTGTCGTTAGAGACGCTTCTTCTTTGCCAGCAACCGTTAAGAAGATGCGGGCACGGCAATTATAATTACGAGACCACTTTTGATCACAGTTAAAACACAATCCCTTCTCATGTCACTCTGCCATTTCAGATTCGGATAGGTGACGGAACCGTGGCTTGATCGACGGTGTAGGCAGAAGTCCAGGACCAAAACATGTTGATGGGTCTGGTGAAGGACGAGGAGATGGTGTGGATTTGGGACGATTCGCACATTGTTGATCCAACAACTTGTCCTCCTATAAACGCGCCAACCCTGTGGTCTGGGTCAGAGATGTGGGTTGGCGAGCTAGAACTTCGCGACGTATATCTAGCTTAAGTATCGATATAAAACAACTAAGTACATCCACCAGTGAAAGCCCCACGAGACGGTTGGCGAGTGCCTCGAATTCCACCAAATAAGCTGCAACAATGGTGGATTGAGTTTGAAAAGGTTACCACGAGGGTCGTCGGAGCGAAACGGGTCTCGAGAGCTTGCAGAAATTGATGCCATGAAATGATTTGGTGCTTACGGTACATGCATTGGTACCAGGACAACGTTGGTCCGTCAAGGTAGAAGGACGCAATGGTGATGCGCTCTTCCTCTAGAGTTTCGTGGTAGATGAAAAATTGACCGATCTTAAAGATCCACCCGTGTGCGTCGGTGGCGTCAAAACAGGGAAATCGAGTTTTAGACGGTGACGTTGGAGAGAGGGATGGAAGATGCGGCAGAGGACGAGTGTTTCTATTCCAGACGAAGGCGGAGCTCCTCCAGTCGCAAGGAGAAGGTGGCGATTTGCTGGGATAACTCGTTGAAACGATCATCAGAACATGATTTTCTGATCATGTTGGAGGTGGTTCTCTCAATGAGAGCACCAATGTTACGATCAAGTTCTCAGTTTCGAGGACTGAGTGCCTCCTTAAGAATATAGATAAGAGAAATGAATTGTTATTTCATTAATTGATACCCATCAAGAGAATACAACTCCTTAAATAAAGGTAATACAACAATACTCACTAACAAATTAATTGGAATTATTCTATACTGGCACAATTTGCATAACAAACAAAATCTAATAAAAGATTTGCTTATAGAACCATCAACTGACGCCACTTATATATCACATAGTGTGAGAGCTTCACAAATAACTTGGTAATACGTTTGGGCTTAGTCTCAATTGGTCTAACTTCAACAATCGCTATGAACTCAGCACTTGTGGACTCCTCTTCATTAACCAAAGGTGTATGTAACATGAAATCACGGTCAAATATCATGTCCTCATATCTTATTCTTAGCTTCTTTTTTTTTTTGTTTTAAATTGGTTCTTTGTGTCTTCAATTGTTTACAAGATGGGCATATAATAAACTTTTTGTTATAAAAAAACTCATGTGGCGCAACAAATTATATTTTAAACTAGTTTTAGATAAAACAACTAAAATTCATAATTACAAGATTGATTTTTATTTTCTACCCATATTCATTTGCATCTTCCAACCGAGGGAAAAAAAACTCAACCTACACACAAATAATCAAATATCTTCATCTTCAAATCATGGTTATCTCCATTTTCACCATTTTGTTAATTAAAAAAAATATTCATAGAAAAAGTATATCTTATTTTCCCATTATTTCCTATAACTTATGATTTAAAGATCAATATGCTAGACCTATCCAATAAAATTACCTGAACAATAAAATTTCCTATAACACGTTAACAATGATATCCTCAACAATAAAATTACCTCTAACAATAACCTTAGCAAAGAATCATAGCTTCCCAAATGCTCACCTCCAAAACCAATTCAAATATAAACCCTTATCTATAATCACCACTTATAAGAGCCACACCTAAGTTCCTCTTCATCTTATAAACCTTAATCTCATCAACACAGAGACATATAAATATTAAGACCACAAAAAGACAACTAGCAAAATCAAATCACAAAACAACTATTATTAACATTTACTCACGTAAATAACGAAACATACAAGAATATGACAATAACATCGCATATGTGTCTTAGTAAACAATTCATTTAAAATATTCAAAACTCGAAGATGACAAGAGACTAATCGAGTAACTATCAACCTACCATAATCTACCAACATGAAAGTGCAAGAACAGAGACAAAGGAATAGCACTATCCTTATGTTTATTGCTTCAATCCTCCCCAGTGCAACATTATGTTTCAATCAATTGTTGCTCTTATTGTTGTTAGGAAATAAGCCAGTTTTTCTAAAATATTTTCTATGTTTCAAGCAATACAAAATTTGTTGCAATGCTTCATTTTCAGCAGCAACAACAACTGCAAAAAGAATGAATATAAGAAACCATCAATTACTTCTTCCTTAAGTATAAGAAACCAACCACCACAGAGATGCCAACTACAGCTACGGAAAAACCCATATATGGTTTATTCTTCAGCTGCGTCGTGAACTTTTCGTAATAACCTTTCTTGGTTGAAATCGTAGACGAAGTGTCAAATTCACCGATGTAATATTTCTCCATAAGTTCTCTTGCACTTTTGCTGTGGCCAGCATCTTCAAAATCTTCAGTTGCATCTCTCCCTTCGTAAAAGTCAAAACACAAAGGTATATTAAGATTGAGATTTCTAATATTGGATGAAGTTTTCCATGTTATAGTTATGCAATTCATATTAGTGTGACAAAAATAAAGGAAGCATTAGTATGTACCGGTTGCAGCGAGGATTACATCATCTCCACCGGGATGATCTTCCAAATATTGTGTCACATCGTATACCTGCATCGGGGAATGAAATAAAAAATGTAACAAATAGAGAAGCAAATGGAAGTGAGTGGCATAAAAGGCATAACTAGAAGAAAATGTTAACAGAATTTCGGACTCGATAGACTTAAAAGACAACTATGGAATCAGCAAACCAGAGAATAACAAATACTATATTAGCAGAAATTATTAAACAGTGCAGTCAGGACAACAGAACCCAGCAATACCAAAAGAGGGTGAGTTCAATGGTGCGCTTCTTTAAAAGTAGTGCACCAGTGCACGATTTAAAATCATCGTTGATATGTGTCTAAACAGAGACACACTACGAGTTTACTCGAGAGTTATCAAGCCTAATGGCAGGAAAAATCGCCCGACGCAGTAGTTTTTGAGCACGTTTCATTTGTTCTTTTTATTGGGTTTATGCTCAAAGCTTCACCCAAGAAAAGACCTTGAGAAAAAACCTCTGCAGACTGCAACTTCTCAACACTTCACACCCAAGTTCCCTGTGAGTGAAACCTCTTGTATTTCCCTTGGATCTTCAACAAAGACCGTGGAAAGGTGCTGCAAATTTAAATCACTAGTTTCCACTGGGTTAATCTTTTTCTTCTTTAGGTTTTTTTCTTTCAGTTTTACCATTTAATGTGAATATCCACTAATCCACTTACCAATTTATACATTCAGTTTCACCATTAGTGAGAAACTGAGAATAAGATGCTGAAGAAATATGACATTAGTGAGGGAGAGAGAAGCTGAGGGAAATGTATGACAAGGTTCACGTTTTGGGTTTTGAGACATTTTCCGGCAGAAAAGGGTGAATGGCTGGTTGTGTTCAGCAAATAACCATTTTCTGAACAAGGATGATCTAAAGGCTCTGAAGCATGGGTACTTCTAAAATGGTGAAGTACCGGTACCGGGTACGCACCCGTACCGGATACACGTACCGTATTTGTGGTACTTCATTTTTTCTCATTATTCGATTTTGAGTGAAATTTGCGTCTTTCTCAAATATCAATATAGTGTACTTATGTATTTTAATTTCTCTGTTATTATATCTTAACATTATTTTTTATCTGTTAAAAACTTTTATAGTGATATTTTGTTATGAACTTAATAATTTAGTTTTCTACTCATACATTTTATAGAAAACTCTTATGTTTTATTAACGTACCCGTGGCCGTGCCCTAATTTTTCAAAAATGACGTATTCCGTACCAGTACCCGCACCAGCACCGGGTACCGTACCCCTATGCATCGTAGTCTAAAGGCCAAATGTGGAGGTAGCAAGGGTACTAGAGAGGGGAACTTACATTGTGGTGTTGTTGGAATTTATGCACGTCGTTGCAACTTCTGTTTTTAAGGCATTATATATGTTGTTGGAACTTATTTTAAGTATTTATGTTAAGTATTTACCTTAGGGTTTAAAGCTCACAATAGCGGTCATCCAGCTCTTCACTATGCCGCTATAGCATTTTGGGGGTCTAGCGCTACACGCCGCTACCCGAGATTAACAAACTAGCTCAAAATTACCCTTAAAACGTTTTAAACTTAAGGGGTAACTTCAGGGTTTTTTTAGAGGGAAAAGGATAAGGGAAAAAAAACCGCTCCAGGTCGGGAACCGCACCGCCCCCGCTACCTGGTATTTATTCTATAGCGGCCACTATAGTATTCTGCACCGCTAAGACTCTCCCCATAGCAGCCGACCTCTGCTCCGCTATAACGGAATAGCGCCGCTATTGACTACTCTAATAAAAAGAACACCCAAGAGCTACAGTTGACAAACTATATAGCCATTCTTAAGTTAAAGTTTTCTATAGCCATTCTTAGGTCACTAAATTTTTGTCATGTGACCTAAAATCTTAACAATTACAAGCTTTATGGCTGAATTTGGTTTTCATATAGTAGTAGGCAATAATTTTCAGTTATCAAGTTTTGACCTAATAAAGCTACCAGGTAAAGTTCAAATGCAGATTAATTTATCTAAAGTTGAAAACAAAGAAAACATAACAATTCAGTACCTTCCCATCGACAATGATCCAGCAGTCGTCTTCTGTTTTGTGGTGGGATGCATCTTGGATGGTGTAGAAATTGGTGAGGGTTGGCATGTTTGTGGTTGGAGTACAAGGATGTTGGGAAGACGAAGAGTCGGCACAAAGATATTTTGATTGGTAGATAATACTGTTGGGTTGCTGAACTTTGAATTCCTGGTACTGGTCTTTCAGGCTCGTCGGTCAACAAACAACACGGTTTGATGGGTCCAAGAGGAAAATGGGCTATGGGCCAACATTATTTTTGTCTTTGGGTTTCATGGGCTATAGTCGGGAATTTAGGAAATAGTTCAATAGATCTTTATATAAGTATATTACATCTTGAAAAATCAAAAATGTTCTTCACGTGTGTGAAGATATATTTTTGGACGCATTCAAATCATAATTAAAATGTGTTATTTGAGATCCACTTCATTTTGAAGAAAAAAAGGTCTAGAAATCATCTTCGTATTATATTTGAGTGTATTAAAAGATATATCTCCAAAATGTCTCTTGAAAGTTTCTAAAAGTGTGACAAATATAAAGGTGAATTATTTCGGAAATGCATCTATCCTCCTTGATTCACATCAGAAGAGCACCATTGTCCAAACATTTGATTTTTGTGAAGCCAAATTATATTAACTTATATTAACTTATATTAACTTATATTAACGTAAAATCAAAGTAAAATGAAGTTATATTAAAGTTAAAGGAGGGTAAGAATGTATACATTAATAAAAAAATTCAACATAGTACACACATTAATCTAAAAATACAAAAAAAAAAACAAGACATCCCAATATAAACTATTGGGTATGTCTAACTGCCTACCTCATTCGTTGTTTGTACTGCATACCATTCTGTAACTCGGCAATCATGGTCTCCACGAGGGCCAACTATGGAGAACCATCATCAAGAGTCTTGCATATATGGCTCATCTACTCATCTCCACAACACGTCGACATATTGTCGTCATGTTCTCTGCCTACTTATCATGAACCTCAAGTACCTCCTAGTTAGCTGGACTAGGTGATTCTCTATGATCGTTAGGTGTCATGATAGGGTGTGACACACTATAGAACTATGTCATGTAACCTTCATCATAAGCTCAATGTACATGAGCGGACTTCTGACGATACTTCTCTAGTACAATGTGACTCTCAAAATCATCCAGTATCACATGTAGGCCTCTACGAGGGACAATGAGAGGAGAGGCCTTATAGAGAGGTCTTAGAAAGATCTACAAGTAGTCAAACTAACGCATCACACATTCTGGAAGATAAGGATACATAATATATGACCCACATGTCAACAATCTAGAGTATAAGGAGATGGCATCAAAAGGACGTGTATGGCGGTGAACCTCATATGGACAAAAGGAAACGTCATTTATTACCATACGGTCAAGAGAGACTCTGAATGGCTCGACATTACCATTCCCTATGTAAGGAACAAAAGCGGTTGCACGTGACCAGTCTTCATCGTAGTTAGGCGCAACTTCTCACCCACTAATGTGAGGGAAGTGAGAGATGATCCATCCCAAAAAAAGTTCGAATAAAATGATTAGTAACAAGTGTAACAAATAAATTATGACAATATTAGTAATAAGAAATTACTATTAGCAACATGCAGCACCTCGTCAACTACTTTGTCTTTCAAAGATAACCCTCGTCCATCTTCGATTATAGGTAGTCCAAACAGGTAGCCCCTAGTTGTACTTGTGAATCGCAGTCAGGTTTGTGAAGTACTTGAGGTATACCACATTGATATATATTGCGCTTTTATCCACAAACATAAATGTGTCAACCAAGAATAAGAGGTAACACCTCAATGCGCAATGTCGGTGGTACTCAACCTGTATATCATCATCATCGACATCATTAGCCCCCTTTATATGATAATTATATAGCTTTTATAAAAAGCTAAATCGTTCATGAGCACCTCTAGTGTGAGTTGCCTCCTCCGAATCTCTACCAGGCTCAATCCCTAATAGGGTGACCATTAGAGCGACCCTTTCCTCTCGCCTGATCCTCTTGGGGTCTAGTAATCACCCCCTGATAGAAAGATGAATAAGTCATGAGATGTCATTCAAAGTGATGGCCATCTTGCCTATAGGTAGGTGGAAATATGATGTCTCTGAGTGCCACCTCTTTGCAAAATCCACTTGTATGTTGTGATTTATAGTCACATATGTAAATGAACATAAGCGGGCAAGACCAGAATAATGAAAAACATCATTAAACCAACAATCAGTGGGTTAAGACAAAACTAGTATCTTTCTTATATGGTTATTCATTTTCAAACAATCACTCTCCTAAAAAAGAAAACATAATTAGTATGGATTTAGTTAGTTGACAACATATGTATTGCGAAAGAAAAAACGTACTTCTCTATTCCAGACATGCCTAACAGCATGTTATGTATAATTTTAAACCAAGGAGGTGGAATATGGTCCTCTAAAATAACTCTCTAATAGGATATCTTGATCCGCTTCCTCGTGGACTTCAGGGTCAACAAGGGCCTCATGATCCTTAGGTTCTAGCACATCACATGCATGAGATGCTTGAGAGAGCCAGCTCTAAGAACCAGATGGTCGGGGCTTCCAAGTAGATGCAACATCATATGAGTTAGCAATAACTCATGACCTCATAGTCCTTGTTGCAACCCTAACACATCGTACCGATGCAATTTAGGACACGCGCCCAACCCTAATCTAACCATTGTCTTCATCCATTGCACTTGCATTATAAACAGAGATAGATATAAACAACATGTCTGGAGAAAATCACAAAATCCACAAAATAACCCAATTTTATGACTGATTCCAATCTAGAGATGCATATATGAAAATAATGCAGACCAAATCCGGAGATACATCTCCAGACAAACCTATGATTGTCTCAGTCATGGTAAATATGCCATTTGTTCTCTAACAGACCCAATAAACCTCATTATATGTTCTAATAGCCTATCAATTTCGTTTACACTACTATCTAATGTACCTAAAACAACTAACTAAAGATCAAAACATAAAAATAAAACAAAATTTGAAAAACTCACCAAAAGAAATTGATTGAAGGGAAGAGGAAGCTTGGATTTTATGAGATGCTGGAAAAGCTTCAATTATATTGTCATACGGTGAGAGAACTGACTAGGGTGTTTTGTGTTTTATCGCAATTGTTGCGGATAGCAAAAGTCGTCACCGACTTTTCTTTTATCCAATAAAGGAAAGGGTGAAAAGAACATGAAATACCTTTTGAGATATTTTCTTGGTTCGGGGGGTAGGTTATGAAAAGGGAAGGTGTTAGTATCATTTTCATCCGTAGTTATCTACGGGCTCTTAGTTTCTTGCTAGATCGCTTTGAAAAATGCTTTGTTTGAAATATGTTTGTGGTAGGTTTTTGAAAGTATTTTGAAAACGCCTTTGTTTCGACAAACCTTGTAATGATTCTCGTCTCTATAAGAATGTATTCAAAGTGTTAGTTTTAAAAATAGTTCAAAGAGATGTTTGTTTTTGAAGGTGTTTTGAAAGTGTGAGTGCAGAAATGGTTTTAGTTTGTGAGAAAGCAACTACGAGCGTCCTACCTAATCAAAATGTCTTTATTCTTTTCCTCCTACCTTAGATATTGCTACCTTACCATTGATTGGTAAGAAGCCCCATCATTAGATGTGAAGGGATAGGCATTGGTCAATCATATAGTCACAGAAGACAACTTATGAGACGTTTTAGCAATTTCTATAAGGGACTAGATTATTTACCAAAGGTAACATCGAGGGACTACGATCTTTTTTATCGAGGGTCTTTGATAAAATGTCCATATTCAAGGGACATAACTATTTTCTGAGGCAACAATCGAGGTTACCCTAGAGGTGTACGTATGCAAAGTGTGTTTGATTGTATGCATTTTTGTCTTTGAGATTAGGGTTTTCTAGCGGTTGATTTTATCTTGCCATACACACTCTAATTACTAACAATTTATATTAAAGCGGTAAATTACAAAAATTAAAATTCTAAGCTATTACATCATTAGGGGAGTGGGGGTACAATTTACAAATGGGGATGAGGTGGAAACTTAAATATTACAATCATATCGAATAACAATGAAGGAAATGTAAAAACAATGTAAAAAGAAGGAAAAATTGCATTTTGAACTATTATGTGTCGACACATACTGCTATGCATCGACACATAACTTTCCTTGTCCCTGTAAAACCAAATCAACTCAGTATGAGTCGATGCATAATGGGATGTGTCAACTCGTGCACATGTTTGTATCGATACATACTCGTTTTGTGTCGACTCATGCACCTTTCATCCTTCTGTTTTGGGGCCTGGACAACAGTATGAGTCGATGCATAAGGCCATGTGTCGACTCATACCCTGTTTTTTCACTAGAATGAGTCGACCCATGTTGGTATGTGTCGAATCATGCTGTAATTTTTTGCCTTAAGCGTTGTTTTATTGTTTATACAGGTTAGTTTACAGCATATAATTGATAAACATAAACAGCAAGCAAATGGTTAGCTCAAAGGGGCAATTATTACTACATTTTATCTTCAAAAATAAATCATTTATGATGTATGAAAAAGTGCCAAGTCAAGAAGACTTACCTTGAAACTACACTTGGTGTTTTAAATCTGAATACTTTTCAAGATGTTGTGATGGCTCCAATGAATCTCCAGGAAGCTGTTCCAAACTGTTGAATCACACTAAACCCAGTCAAGTTGTACAGTACTGTTTTTGTGTTTGGAGGATGAAGATAGTGGCACTACAGAAACTGTTCTTGTGTTTGAACAATCTCTATGTGATAAGGTGTTTGGTTTATGGGATAGTTTGTAAGATGGAAAATGGATTGAGGTTCTATTTTTGTGACTGAGAATAAAGATGAGTATGCGCAAAGGGTCTTTTGTGAAATGAGCAGAGTTTACAAAGAATGTTGTTTTTTCTGTTCTCTCTTTTTCTCTCCAAAAAAACCAGCCTCTTGTGTATTGTGAAAACAATCTATTTATAGAGAAAGTTTGGCTAATATTTGGGGGGGGGGGGGCAAATAAGTTTTTGAACAGTTTAGGTATGATGT